GATACAGTAAATCGAACAAGTACCAGGAGCCTTTTAAAGAAATGAGTACGCATGTTATATATTTCGTTTTTCATCCATTTAGTTTTTATTGTTGCCTAGCTATAATTTGTTCAGCTGATTATTTCAGAATATCATCGTTGAAACAATTAAGTTAGTTAAGTTACAGCCTATTTACGTCCCACTGCTGGGCCTTACCTCACTTCTGAGAGGGTTTTAGGGAAAAGAAGTGTCCGCCGTGCTGCCCCTATGCGTCGTGGCGAATTTCACATGTCTTCGAAATTATTTTTTTCTTATTTCTCAGACAGTCAGATTTTCTCACGATATTTTTCTTCACGCCGAGCACGTGGTAGATTAGCACTTAAATTTGCAATTAACAATTTCATTGACGCCAGCGAGGATCGAACCCGGTTTGCTAGCGTACTGTGAAATTTAACGCGATAGCTAACCATCTGAGCTACCGGGGCTCCTCTGAGCCACCATGGTTCTCATCGTTGAAATGAATACATCTTTTTATTTTGTATGTTTCTATAGAATAGGGTGACAAACGAGCACACAGTCCACCTGATTGTAAGTAGTTGCTGCGGACCGTAGATGTCTACATCTATCCTCGATTACAAATGAAAATGCAGATGCGTTGTCACTCGTGAGACTAAGATGGAATGCCTCATTTCTAGTAAAAACCGTCTCCGGTTCTCAACACTCACCATACGAAACACAACCAGTATTAAGCTACTGTTTCACGCTGGTATTCTGTGAGAGCGTGGTCCTTCTCCGGTCGAGCCGACATATTCGTGCAACAACTATACTACTAATATAACTGTAGCATGGCTCTACCACGCATAAAAAACGTTTTAATGAACTAGTACATAATGCACAAAAAGTGCAAAATCGGACTTTAATTTTGGCATATATTTGAAGTATAAGAAGTGGGTTCTTTAAAAATATATATCCATAATATTTTTTTTATTTCAGGAAGAGATATGTGTTTAAGACCATTTAATTAGTAGCAATAAAGAAATGTAGATGGGGCTGTGCGATTTAAACACGAGCTATCATTTATCTCACCAATAAAGTGTATAGTCAAATAAATCGCATATTAGAATCAAGAATTCAGATCAAGTACATAGTGTTTTATTATAACCTCTATAGTACCCAAATTAGATCAACATAGTTCAATAGTGCAGTAGTTCAGCAAGATCAATCAATTAAACATTTGGTCTACATCGAGTCGGATTAGCTCGAATATTTTTGACGACGTTGTGGTTCTTATCTAAGGACCACTCCCGCGGACTCGCACCGAGTACGCGGTTAAGCCGTGGCGCTAGAGGCGCGTTTAGGTGCCATAGTGCAAACTTAGTGCGAACTGCGGAGGTGCAGCTGCAAGTGGTTGGTGCCGGCTGCCGAAAACCAAAGGACAAAGGAAGGTGCAATAGCTTCAGATGTCATATACTTTATTTTTTCTACCAGTTAACTTTATTCCTTCAGTGAAATCAAGATTTATATGAGAAAATAGAACACTTGTTTCCATTTAAAGAATATTTTGTAGTAGTAGTAGGGACTTAGAATAGTTTGGCTCTCCTTTTACTCATATTTAAGTTTATAAACACTTGTAAAATTTTCATAAAAATTTTGGACATAGTTTTTTTTTCTGAGGTTGTAAACAAGAACAAGTTAAAATTTTATAGGCCAATAAAATGGAAGGTCTGATAAATGTTCAATTAGATTTACACCATTCAATCAAAAAGGGCTTGTCAAACTTTAAAAAAAGTCCAAAGGAAAGAATAACAAAAGAATATGTAGAAGCAAGATTAGAAAATTTAGAAAGAGATTGGTTATTGTTTAGATCAAATAATACAAAATTATTTGAAATAACAAAACAGGGAGAATTAGCTAGTACAACGTATGTAAGTAAAGAAATTTACGAAATAACTGAGGACAATTATTTAATGTATAAATCTTTAATGAAAAGTGTTTTAAGTCAATTTTTGTTATCCGAAAATGAATCGAACGAAAAAAATGTTGATAGTGAGAAGCCTAGCCCGCTAGTGAGATTGCCAAAAATAACTATTCCTGATTTTTCCGGAAATTATTCAGAATGGACGACATTTCGCGATTTATTCGTTTCATTGGTACATAATAATGATTTACTTAAGAATGTTCAGAAGTTACACTATTTAAACTCACTAACGGGTGAGGCTGCTCAATTAATAAGACACACACCAATAACAGATGCAAATTATATTACATGTTGGTCACTGTTAGAGAAACGTTATAACAATAAAAATATTTAGCAAACTGTATATTAAAACGTTTGTTTGGGCAGAAACGGTTATATGTAGAATCCGCGTCAGGTATAAAAGAGTTATTGGACACAACCATTGATTGTATGAACGATTTAAAAAACATCAACGTAGATGTAAGCACATGGGACATTATCGTTATACATATTGTTACCTTTAAATTGGATGCGGAAACGCGTAAGCAGTGGGAGCTACATATTTCCAGTTTTTCCGATTTAAATGATTTGCCAACTTTAGAACAACTTAAGTGTTTTATGGAAACCGGTTCCGTGCATTAGAGTTCACAGATACAAAAAAGGCCAATATAGGACAATATAATAATAATCCGAGTACAAAACCTAAAACATTATTGGCCACAAATGTTTCAATGCGCTGTGAGTTTTGCTCAGAGCACCATAAATTATGCTTTTGCAAAAAATTTGCAAAATTAAAGTGTGCACAAAGACGTAACTTCGTAACCAAAAATTCCATCTGCTTTAATTGCTTGGGTAGGAATCATACTGTGTATGAGTGCAATAAGCCTACGACTTGCAGGATTTGTAAAAGACGCCATCACTCACTCTTACATCCGGAAGAAGAAAAGGCGGATATGGGTGCTGCTGTCAAAGATGCAGTTGTGTGTACTAGCTCAGAAGCTAATAACTCTGCGATAGTCTCGTGTCTGTCGATGCGTAAAATCTCAGGATACGGAGATTTTACTTGCTACTGCGCTAGTAAATGCTGAGTCTAAGTCTGGTGGAAACCAAATAGTACGAATTTTTTAGACCAGGGCTCTCAGGCTTGTTTCATAACAGAAGCCGCAGCTCAACTTTTACAACTTAAAAAGAGTCCTATCAGGGCAACAATTACTGGCCTAGGAGAAGACAAATCTTTAACGGCAAAATATGTTGTTACTGTTTATCTAAAATCTCGGATTGATAATAATTATAAAATCCAGGTAAAAGCGTATGTTCTGAAGAACATGACATCTTATCTTCCAGAACAAAATTGAATCCATTGACTGGATAGGCTTACAAGACTTATGCCTGGCAGATCCTAAGTTTAATGTGTCTAACAAAATTGATATGCTTTTAGGAGCGAATGTGTTCAGCCAAATTCTGATGGATGGTGTGAAAAGGAGTCCCAACGGATCTTTAATAGCCCAAAACACCACTCTGGGTTGGATCGTGTCTGGTATAGTCAATGACAGCAGTGAGAATTATAAAAACAATTCTAAAATAACGGTAATGCATGCACAAATAAACGAATATAATATTTTAAAACAGTTTTGGTAATTAGAAGAACAACCAAGAATTAGAAAAAGTGTGTGGTCAGAAGAAGAGCAAAAATGTGAAGAAATGTTTACAAGTACAACAAAAAGAACGGCTGAAGGCCGCTATATAGTGAAACTGCCATTTCGGGACAACCAACTGCGTTGTTTGGGTAGTGGCTCGCGACAAATAGCTGTAAAAAAATTTAAGGCATTAGAGAAAAGGCTATCAAAGGATTTAGAACTAAAGAAAAACTACACGGAGGTCATAAATGAGTATTTACAATTAGGTCATATGAGACGTTAAAGAAAAGATGATAATGAAATGAATGAAGCTGTTTACTTACCCCACCATGCAGTCGTTAGAAAGGACAAAACATAATGATTTCTTAAATTTACGCGAACACTACACATTGAATAAAACTATTATTTATGGATTTTATCGCGTTTAATTACTTTAATTTATTTTTATTATTATCCCGACGTTTCGGGTGCTTTACATGTTTAATGACCATGGGCGCTGTAAAGCACCCAAAACGTCGGGATAATAATAAAAATAAATTAAAGTAATTAAACGCGATAAAATCCGTAAATAATAGTTTTATTCAAGGACAAAACAACTACGAAAGTTAGAGTGCATCAAGTAAAAATAATTATGGTGTTTCGCTTAACGAAACTTTGATGATAGGACCCAAACTACAGTCAGATTTGCGTCACTTAGTAATACGTTGGAGAATTGATCCGATTGTGCTGGTAGCTGACATTATTAAAATGTATCGGCAGGTCAGAGTAGCTGAAGACAACACAAAATTCCAACGTATAGAGCTCCGCAGTCAACGGAGTATGACGGTTAGAGTCCTCGCAGCTGAAAGGATATGTATTATAATTATATTATATATACAGTTCCTTTAGAAACTTCACTGAACTTGGACCCCATGAACCCAAAATCTCCACAATAACAATTACAAATATATAATCATCTCTGAGACTAATATAAGACTTTTAACATAAAAATTTAAGGACATATCAATAAAAGTGATATCAGTGAGCAGTAGAAATATATCAGTGAGCAGTGAGCGCACGAGACAGGCGCACGCGTTTAGTTAAACGTTTGCACTCTTGTTTACGTATCTACTACCAACCTTTTTTCTTCGTGACTGTAGTCATTGATACTGTTACTTCTAGATGAATATATGTGAATCATGTTCAAATGAGCTCAATGATAGAGCGCAATGTTATATTTGTAAAAAAAACACTACGACTTTGGTTGTGCTGGTATAACGGAGCGAGGTTTTCAGAACTTAGGAGCAGATCGAAGAGCTCAATGGAAATGCTTTCAGTGCAAAAAGGTTTTCTTCAGCCCCTCCCGTCCAAGTTCTGAAGCCTTTCCTGGTGGCAATTCTGGTGGGGAGTCGGCGACCTTGGATGTTATTCTTAAGGAGATTCGTGAAATGAAGAAGCTGGTCACAACAGTTCCAAGTCTTATCGAAGACATCAAATCTATTAAAGTTGAATTAATCCATCTGAAGGAGTCTTGTGAATACAACAGTAGTTCATTTAAATCTTTTCAAGATCAAGTCTTCAGTTTCGAACGTGGTGTATCTCAGATAGAAAAGATTCGAAATTCTCTCGCTATGGCCAACAAGGAAATAGCTAATCTTAAAAGTGTTATTCAGACCAATGAACAATGGTCACGGCTTAGTAATGTTGAGGTAAAGGGCATCCCCCTAAAGCCCAATGAAAACCTGTTTGTAACTGCGAAATCTATGGGTAAAGCAGTTGGGTATGAATTCCAAAAATCTCAAATCAATTACATATCCCGAATACCAATGTTTAATACCAAAGAGAAGGCTATCATTATCAATTTCATAAATCGTTAGGTCAAAGAAGAATTTGTAGCAGCTGCACGCGCCTGCAAAACTCTAGAGGCGAAGGATGTTGGATTTGAAGGTAATCATCAACGCATTTTCGTAAATGATCATTTGATTCCAGAGCACAAAAAACTTCTTACCAAAACAAGGACCTTATCAAAAGACCGAGGTTATTCTTATATCTGGGTCAAGTACGGAAAAATTCATATTCGTAAAAATGATACTTCACCGGTTTTAATTATTACTAAAGAGGCTGATTTAAACAAAATAGCTTAATCTATTGTTTATTAATGTCTCTTTACATTACTTCTTTTAATTTTATTAAGTATTATTACCTCTGTATAATTAACTTTTACTTTTATGGAATTACGAAGCTGTTTTAAAAAAAGTTACAAAATGCTTGTTACCCCTGCCTTACCTGCTTCGTTGACATATCGTTATTTGTTAAAATTGTCTGTCGGTTATCAGTTGCTTGCTTCTGTTGACGGTCGCTTAAGTATGCATCATATTTTGCACTCATTAGATGATACAGTTTTATTTTTTCTATCCGTTTGTAAATATTATATGCTAACTTATTATAGTCTTAGTGAATTTTTAAATATTGGTATATTGTTTACTAATTTTATTATAGGGTTTTTGAAATATGACGGGAGATATATATTCCTTTATCGTAGTAAAATTATTTTGGTTATTGATAGGCTTAAAAATGGCTATGCTACATAATAATAGTGTACATGTAGGGTGTGGCAGTGACAACCTGAGAATTGTTGGCAACACAACATTAAGTTTTTATCTGTATGGGACAAAGCCCATAAGCTGTTCCAAAAATATTAATTGTCTAATTTTATCTGTCAATGTCACTAATGTCATTACTGGACAAGAGAATTATTACACGGAGCGCACGCATTTTTCACCCGATCTGTAGTTTTATTATTTAAAAATATCAAAAATACCAACATGGTCCTTCGAGCAATAACAATATAGTCTATCCAGCGAAAGAACGGTGAATACGTGTGAAACTTTGGATCATACAACTTCCAGAAGATACCCACGCCACGTCCCGGCCGTAGCGAAAAAGAAACGGGCAAGTTCACTTTAAAATTTCAAGGGCGAGTCCAAAACGCTCAAGAAAGTTCGAGCGCTGCGTTTGAGTGTTCTGGAAATCCAAGTCTGGTTCGAGTATCAGGAATAAAGCAACTTTCGGTGACGCCGAGAGTGCTTCGTCACCGCGCCAGCAGGACGCATCTGATTGGCTCGCGTCACATCACGCCCTCAGAAGAGCCAATCAGCGACGGGCGAGTCTATCTAGTTCGAGGAGCACGCGTCACCACGTGGCCTCGCCGGCGCGCCGCCTCCGAACGAAGCATTTTTTTCGAATCGAAACGCGTCGCAACCGTCTTATTTTTTCATTTTGCTGCAGACAGATTCAGTTTTACAGAAAAAAACGTGTTGTTTCGTGCTTGTGCAGTCAGATAATTTCAGTTACAACCGAATTATATTGTTGTAATAGCAACTTTACAGTGTACGAAACAAGTTTTCAACAATGGATGGCGAACAAATTAGAACGCTCGTCAGGAAACGAGCGTCCATCAAAGGTACTCTAACGAAAATTGAAAACATGTTCAAAAACGAAGAGGGTTACAAGGAGTTTTCTAAACAGGCGTTACTCCTAAAGAAAGAGCGTCTTCGCGACACATTCAAAAAGTACGAAGACTATACATTGGAGATTTGCGCCATAGATCCCGACCTCGATGATGGCGATGATGTAGAAGAGCAGTACAGCAAAACGCTCACCGTCATCAGAGAATTATTGGAAACAATAAATTATGAAAAAGATTGTAAAAACGAGTGTGTTACAAAAAGCTTCAATACAAAGTTAACTACCATAAATGTACCAACGTACTCTGGTAAGTACTCTGAGTTCAAGCCATTCATACAACTCTTCGATTCACTCATACATAACAATCAAAATTTAGATGATGTGCAAAAGTTTTTCTATTTACGTAATTTTCTGCGAGAGGAACCTCACGATCTGGTCAAAAATCTCACATTGTCTACTGAGAGTTACCATGAGGCCAGGAAAATTCTAGTTGATAGATACGACAACAAATATAAAATTACAAATGAACATATACACATTTTGTTAGATATTATATCTATATGTAAATCAACAGCGAGTAATTTAAGAAACTTTGTATCTGTTGTTAAGCAACAATTAGCTGCCTTTAAAAACCTAGGTCACTCAGTTGATCAATGGGATCCAATAGTACTTTGCATTCTGACTTTTTTTTTTTATAGGATAGGGTGACAAACGAGCACACAGTCCACCTGATGGTAAGTGGTTGCTGCGGCCCATAGACATCTACATCTATCTTCCATTACAAATCAAAATGCAGATGCGTTGTCACCCGTGAGGACTGAGATGAAATGCCTCATTTCCAGTAAAAAGGGTCTCCGGTTCTCTACACTAACCATACGAAATACAGCAGCATTAAGCTACTATTTCACGCTGGTATTCTGTGAGAGCGTGGTCCTTCCCCCCGGTCGAGCCGACCCATTCGTGCTACAACTATACTACTAATATAATTGCAGCATGGCTCTACCACGTTAAAATTTTAACATTCTGACTAGAACGTTAGACTTATTGTGCAGTAGGGAATTCCAATTGGCTCGAGTACGAGATCCTACGGTTGCGCACCTTATTGATTTTTAGATGAGCATGCACTTGCACTCGAGAATGCAGAGCGGCCACTGGAGCGATCCCAGCCAACTTCAAAGGTGGCTCATGTCGCAGCTGTGAAGAAAACGAATCCAGACACAGGTGCTGCTGCGGAGACTGTATGAACAAGAAGCTGCTTACTCTGTAAGTCCAACCACAAGCTTTTTACTTGTCTACAATTTAAACTTATGTCTGCGAGTAATCGAATCAATTTTGCTACATCTAACAACCTATGTGAGGTTTGTTTAAATAATCATAGTAAAAAATGCAGATATCACTTTAAATGTAATGTCTGCAAAGAATGGCATATTACATTGCTCCACGAAGATAAAGCATCGTCTCCAGTAACATTGATGTCTGAGGCTGCCTCCGAGCAGGTACTATTGCCTACAGCACAGGTAAAACTATTAGCCAGCAATGGTACAAAGGTTCATATCAAGGCTCTTCTAGATACTGGATCACAGGCATCTTGTGACTAGAGAACTTGCAAACCTATTAAAATTACAAATTGAAACGGCGGGGCAGGGGGTGCTAAGAATCTCCGGTGGAGGTTCGGTTGCCACCTACGACGACTCGACCTGGCAACATTTAACGCACGCACACTGAGGACGGACGAGAAGACTGGAGCTGGAAGAAAAGATAGACAAGTTGCGCTGGAGTATTATAGGATTATCCGAGGTCCGAAGAGAGGGGGAGGACACGGTGATTCTCGAATCCGGCAACTTGTTCTATCACCGGGAGGGCGACCATCTGTCCCAAGGAGGTGTCGGATTTATCGTCCACAAGTCTCTCGTCAACAACGTTGTAAAGATTGGGAGTGTGTCGACGAGGGTCGCGTACCTGATACTCAGAATCACCAAACGGTATTCGCTGAAGGTCATACAGGTTTTCGCACCAACCTCGGCACATTCCGATGAGGAGGTGGAGGAAATGTATGAGGATATTTCCAAAGCCATGCATTCCTCCAAAACCCACTACACGGTGTTGATGGGAGACTTCAACGCAAAACTAGGCACAAAAGAAAACGGTGAGCTGAAGTTAGGGAAATTTGGAGTAGGGCAACGGAACCGAAGGGGCCAGCAGCTGGCCGACTTTATGGAGAAAGAGGGACACTTTATGATGAACTCTTTCTTCCAGAAGCGGCCCCACAGGAAGTGGACCTGGTCGAGCCCCGACGGTTCGACAAAAAATGAGATTGACTTCATTATGACGACCAGACGCCAACTGTTCAGTGATGTCTCAGTGATCGCAAGGGTGAAAACTGGCAGCAATCACCGAATGGTTAGAGGCACACTGAACCTAAACGTTAAGTTAGAGAGGTCTCGTCTAATGAAGTCAACGCTCAGTCCCCCTCGTGCTCTAATTCAAAATCCCGAAAACTTTCAGCTCGAGTTACACAACCGCTTTCAGTGCCTACAAGATTGCAATGCAGTGGACGATGTGAATGACAAGCTCGTGGAAACTGTCCATGCGGTCGGAGCTAAGTTCTGCAAGACCCGCCGCAGAAGAACACAAAAACTCTCCGATCACACTCTTAATCTCATGGCTGTTAGACGGGAGATGAGGCTGCAATCGTCAACAGAGTTGACAGCATACAGGCAACTGAACAGACAGATCTCCAAATGCATGCGGCGAGACTTACGTAACTTTAATACTGCTCGTATTAAAGAAGCGATCGAGCGGAACCAGGGCTCCAAAGTCTTTGCCAGAGATCTGTCTCCCCGTAAGAGCCAACTGTCAAGGCTGAAGACTGAGTGTGGCAGCATCGTTTCCGGGACACCTGAGATTTTGAGTGAGATTGAGAGGTTCTATGGGCAGCTGTACACATCATCGTTGGAGCCACACGCAAGTGTGAGTAACGATCCAAGAGCAAGTCTTATCCGACACTATTCCGATGATATCCCGGACGTCAGTCTAAGCGAGATTAGAGTGGCTCTCCAGCACCTTAAAAACGGCAGGGCCCCAGGCGAGGATGGAATTACAGCGGAGCTTCTGAAAGCGGGTGGAACACCGGTACTTGAAGTTCTTCAGAAGCTCTTCAATTCCGTCCTCCATGGTGGCAGCACTACTCCAAAGGCGTGGAGCAGAAGTGCGGTGGTCTTGTTCTTTAAGAAAGGCGAAAGGCGAACGCTCTCTTGAAGAACTACAGAGCGATTTCCCTTCTGAGCCGCGTCTACGTGCTGTTTTCGAGAGTCATTACGAATCGTCTCGCACGCAGACTCGACGACTTCCAGCCTCCCGAACAAGCCGGTTTCCGAAAAGGCTTCAGTACCATAGACCACATACATAC